GCTTTATTGCAAAGAGCAGTTTTTGACAAGTTGATTGAATTATTGAAAGATTTTGGAAGTGATACTTATCAATACAAGCCTCAGAACTTGAGGGGACTTGAATATGATTTATATGAATTGGCAAACAAATTATATGATTCTTCATTTGAATCTGATTCATATGAATGGAGAAGCAAGTTACATGATAAAGCAACCAAATTAGTTAAAAATCGAAATAATAATAATCCATCTTCCGCCACCTTTCTTGACCATATCTCATCATCATCATCATCATTAAAAAAAATATGTGGAGAAGTTTTTGATCTGTTGTATACAGTAGGATACAATGATCATAATGACAATAAAGAACATGGATTTATTAAATTTAATAAACAATTGCTTGATCAACATATAAGTCAATATAGAAAAATTATAGATCAACGAAAACAAATTGAACTTGCTACATTATCAGGTGAAATTATAAGAGATTTTATAAAAATATTTCATTTCACACTTTTGGAAGATTTAGATGATCTTGAAATTTGTTGGATTCTTAATGGATCAGCAATTGATTCAGAATTTATGGAGGGTCAATGGGATTACCACAACATTGGTAATTATGTGGTAGAAATTTGTAAATTTCCATTAATTAGATCTTCTAAGAAAATATATTCACTTGCAAAAGTATTTACTGACAAACTTGATAATTCCAATGCAACAATTGAATCCCATACAACAACATATGAAGTTATAAAGTGGAAGGAAAATGCTGAATCAAGATGGACAACTGAAACAAGATGGGGAGTTGAAACAGTAACCGAAGCATATGGCTGGGGTTATCCATCTGGTGATTGGAGGTAAAAAAATTTTGATGGGCTGATTTTATAAATTTTTTTAAAATTATTAGTACATACACAAATGTATATATTGTACATTATATTATAAATACAAACATTTTATATAATTTATATAATCCATTATATGATAATTAAATATAATAAATTTTTTTAAAAAAAAAAAAAGAAAAAAAAACCTTGTACTGCTATCAGATACGTCATTCCATAAATTACGTTTGTCATGTAAAGTTTTATCAAGTGCTTTTGGCCACAAAAAAAACACACCAACATCAGTTTCAGATCTCATATTTAAAATTATCTTATCCCAATTTGGCCTGCAAAAATGAGTTGGTGATTAGAGACCGGTGAAGGTGTCCTTAAGATTTCCATCATCATTAGCAAATGTATTGCAATTTCTGATTTACGTAGTGGACCAGTAAGATATGTATGTATCTCTATAAATTGATCAATATCTTGTTCTTCTATTGCCATTAATAGTGATTGGAACCATTCAAACGACTAGCAAATGAGTAGGTTTGTGGGTGAATAGTGGGTGGGCAGATGAAGAGAAGAGTGAATATTAGTTATTTATTTTCTCATTATAAATTAAAATAATTTATATGTTATATTATGTTACATACTGCATAATCATGACTAACCCAGAAAAAATAAACTTTACAAAGGTGCGTAGATTTTGTTAAGTAAGTGATACGATACTATCATTGATTGATTGATTAATTGATATTGATAAAAAAAAATTTATTTCAAAATTTAAAAAAATATTTTCATACCAAATACTTTTCTATCAAAAGGTGTAACGCCAATACCAGCACCAATAAGAATAGAAACCTCAAATTTAAATTACGTCTTCAGAAGCACCGCTATAAGGTCCATCAACCATAATTTTGGGCAACTCTTGTTGTAATTGTAAATACTTTTTAAACGATCCTTGTTTTTTTTTCACGTAATTTCGCTTCTTCCGCATAATCACAACCAAGTTTAGATGTCAATTTTCTCCTAAAATTCTAACATTTATTGAAACATAATCTTCTTCAGATGCTGATTTTAATGTAAATGGATGCCATTCCCATACTGAAATTTCTGGACAACATATAAAGACATATTGGCCTGCTTTGGTCACAATGCCTTTTTTTTTTTTCATTTTAATTTCAACAATGCATTATAACTTAAAATATCTGTTTTTTTTGCTTGGGATGTACTTCACATAATACACGTTCATCAATGTAAATCACACCAGATGCGATCCAACACTTCCAAAATTTGCTATATCATCATAAAATGGTGCTCTGTTAGGTTGGATCATACAAAGCGCACCATGAAAAGCTCAAACCCACAAAAGGGTATGAACAAATGATGAAGAAACCAAAATGTATTAAGGTTTCGAGCCCCAGGTTTTTTACTTAAAGTAGAAACCATTATCAATAAACATATAAACATCACATATCCATGACCCCAGGTCCTGAGGCAAAATTTAATTTGAGAAAATTGACTATACCATCTTGATGTACAATAATTGCCAATCGATAAAAATTTACCCAATGTGAAACTGTGTGCACAATGGTGAAGATTATCCAATCAGTTTATGGAACTGGATATTCTTATCAAATGAAATCACATTGTTTAATGGTGTTGCTCAAACCAATGAAATTAAATTTCTACAAACTGGAAATAAAATGAATGCCGCATCCACATGAAGAACCAGTACTGATGATCTTGCTATTGTATATGTCATTCCAAGCTCGCTTCTAGCCTTTGTTAAATTATCATCTAAATAATAACGAATGAGTGCCATTGAAAATATCAATCCATGAATCATGATCCAAATATTTTTCTATTACCTTTATTAATTATTTATTTATCATGTTGAATTATTGAATTAGATGGATTCGCTTTTTGGGTACTAAAATAATAGTAGCAATGTAAATAAATTCAAACCTTCATTTATCATCCAAGCTTGAAATTTTTCAAGTGCTGTAACAGGTTTCTTGGTAAAAGAATTACTTTCAACACCATTGCTATCACCGCTGGTTTTATCAAATATAGCATTTGAATTTGATCGTGTAAGAGTTTGTAAATGTTTAATAGAATCACCTCTGGAAAATGGTTTTTCATTGAAGTTTTTCTTTAATTAAATTTTGAAAATTGAGTAGAAATTTCTTCAGGACCATCATTGTATCATATTTACCAGTTGAATAACTGTTTATCACATCATAATTATTATCATTATGTTGTTTGTATCTAGCACTAGCATTAGCATTAGCATTTGAATACTTTTGATTATATTGATTATTACTGTTTATTATTATTATGAAATTATAGTTATAAACATTAGAAGAAATAAAATTACTAAATAATTATCGTGATCGGAACATTTGAAACATTAAGATCTCGGGAGTAATCGGAATTGAAATTTTGTATATTAATATAAATTGTTGACGATCTCAGTCGTTTATGAAATCGATTAACGCACTGAAATGAAGCTCCACTATTTCTCACCAAGGAACTTGCAATGAAATCTACAAGTTCTGTGATCAGCATTAAAATCCTACGTAATACAGATACGGGATAGGGTCGCAGTGCCCCTCAAAAGATAACAACACTTGAGAGAATCGCGCCTAGTTTGTTTTTAGTGATCACGGCTGCTGCAAGCCCAGAACAAAACCTGTCAAGTAATGAATTCGAAAGCAAAGTTCAATTCCTAGATAATTTCACATCATTATTACCATCAATGATGAATGGGACTCCTCATTCATAAAATTCGTTATTATTACGTGATAACCAACATTCATTTTTAATATCAAAATATTTTAATTTATTATAAATAAGCGGTTTGACCCTTTTTGGGAAATTTTGATCGTCTTAATTTATTATTATGAAAAATAAAAATGAATATACACATTTATTTTAAAATACTATTTAATATATATTCATTATATCGAGTTGTAGTTAATATCTATTGGCTAATTTTAACAGTTCCTTCCAAACAAGTTAAAACCACTGCTACTGGATCAATCACTAGAATATTTACAAGAAAAATTATTTAATTATTTACTTACCAATAATCAATCAATCAAACATTTATTTATTTAAAGTAATTAATTAGTTACCTTTTACACGAACAAAGATTTCAGGTATATTTTTAAGTTTGTTGTCATTTGGTATAAGTTCAGTAATTGTAGAATTGAAGTCACCAGCTGGTATTGGACAAGTTAAAGTGGGAGAGTATTTGGCGATATTATCACAAAAACTTTCTTTTTTTTCTAAAACCGGAACTCCAAATATAGTTGCTACAATATCAACAATTGTTCCATTAACAACTGCGACTGTGCTTTTCCCAGCTAAATTCATAATGAGATCTTGTCCAATCTTAACCGGATCCGGAGAATATAAAAAATCAACAATGGTTATTGGTGTGTTTTGTTCGCACAATGTAAATCCATTATTAATCACTCTTTTTTCAACCTCTATTGGTGATGCTGGCAATACACTGGCTGTAGTAAGTTGAACTGTTAATACTAATAATAAGATGGTAAAAATTATGAATTGTTTCATTTTAAAAATTAAAATAATTAAAATTTATTTTCGAAATTAAGTTTAATTTAAAAACTTACAGTGGTGATTGAATGAACGAATATATTTATATAAAATTTTTGCTGTGAAACTAGTAATTTATTTTGTATACTTATTTTGGTTGTAAACACTTGGATTGGTCGTTGGGGCTTTATTTTCTATTATGGTAACACAAATAATATACAATAATAATAATAGTAATGGTATATAGCAATAATAACTATTATTATTATAGTTATTATCATTCAATTTGTAATCTCAACATGTTACTCTAAAAAGTACATCTGAAAATAAACCATCATCGTTCAGCTACTTGCATTTACATTCAACGGGGATAGGCAACCACACCACAAATATCAAACGTTTAATAATTTCCAAATATTATTTTCCAAGAAGGATTAAGTAAAAAAAAACAATAAATTTTTTTTTTGGATCTAAAAAGGATGATGATATAAATATACATTAATTGATTAATATTTTTTTATTATTACCTTTATTTGAAAATTACCCGTGACTTGTTTTTACCATACATAACAAACAATTGCATCACCATGTGGAAATGAAACTTTTAAGAACTGGTTTCAAAGTTTCTGGGGTTGGTCCTTAAAATAATTAATTAATTCTACCTGAATGGGTGGGATCAAAAAAAAATTTTTTTTCCTTCCCAAATGTATAGTTCCTTAAAAATCATCAATAATGCTGATGATACTGATCACAGGCGTCAGATTTAAATAAAATTTCCTACCACAAACAAACAAGCGCGGTGCAATTAATCACAATTCAGGATCATGGAGATTTCTCCACAAGTGAAAGGCTTCAACAGCTTCCACAAGAGCGGCTTTATCTTCAAGCTTGGCCATTGTCATATGGGCATTTATCACTGATGAGGGTTGGTGTTCGTGTGATATTCGCTTCATGCTACCCTTCCCACCAGTATAATGATTAGTCTTGGTATTTAGTTCTGCCACCACCATCAGGCTGCTGGGTTGCTGTTTTGTTGGTAAGATCCCCTACCCATTTAAATAACAATAAATTCGGTTAATCAAACGAAAATTTATCAAGAAACAAAGAATTTAGGGAAATGATTGATTTATATAGAACGTGCCAAAATCTGAACTGTTTTATTTTATAGTTTTCCGCCTAATGCTAGAACCCAAATGCAACTTTAATGAAATTTAGAAAGTCCCACTCTGAATCGCAACTTCCTGAACCTGAAACGAGTTGAATATTCCTAATATTACAAAACTTCAAAATTCTGCAACTTAGGTTACTAAGTTACCCCAGAGATCGGATTATTTCAGTTAACATGCCTATCTGAGTAATACCAGCCTAGGTTTTGCGAGGGAAGACCAGGATCCACAGAAGTGTCCGTGACAATGATGCAGTTTCGATAAACTCCAGAGCCATGCCCCCCCTGAAATTTAGTTGCATCATTGTATCATTGGGTGATGGATGAAGTCAGATTAGCTTTATGCACATGGAGAGGATGAGAATGACTTTAACGTTTCAAACAAAGTAGTGTACTCCAACGTCTGTAAATTTCCAATGATTAAATGTTACATAATGAATTGTTTTCCAAATCGTCTAGAACAAGTTTTCCTTCCCATCTTCAACAGTAATGTTGCTTTTCCTAACCCTTATAATTATATAATGGTTACGCAAGCAAATACATAAATCATTTATTTATAATATAATTTCTATCCAGATTTTTTTGCTTACTACTACGAAGATCGGCAATGCTCCCGGGCCCACTGGATATTAATATAACCACATCAAACGTGTAGAAGATGATAGATTCCGACTATTCAAATTTCTAAAAGATACACATAAATACATACATAATTTATATTATGTATTTAAAAATAAAGATTTAAAGGATCTCAAATCATTATTAGATAATATATAGATTCATTTCTACAAGTTAAAAATGGGAATTAATGTAATGGGCTACCATTCTGCACAATAAAGCCATTTCAACAAATTAACCTCCCTCTCAATCATCTAGACCGATAAATTCATTGGTCTCTTTATGTCAATGCATTAAATTGTTTAATATCCAATTGATCAACCGATTGTGACTTTAGAGCCTGGCTCTGGTAGGAAAATCTTTATCACCAGATGTACACCAATAATTAATAATATTAAAATCCACCAATATATCTTTCAGACAATCTTATGAATCTTTAGTAATTATAATAATTACAACATAAAAAAAATTTTTTCTCTCAAGATATATTCGGTTTGATATTTTTAGAAGAAACAAAAAATTATTTTTTACTTGCATTTTTAATGGTTGCCTTTTTAAACCAAAAATCAATTAATAATGAATGAAACCAATGGAATTAGCAATTGCCCCGAATGAACAATTTGAACAATTTTGGTAGATTTTGACCGTAGAATATAAGAACCATGCATATCTCAAAACATACATATACAAAGAGAGAAAAAAAAGTTGATGTTAAGTCTATTTGACTATGATTAGCAGGTATAATCTTAGTATTCAGTATATTATAGCTATTATTATTATTGATATTACTTGAAAAAGACTTCCCCAATTATGTAATCATAAGATTTTTCTTGTATTTCCACTTTTTATTATGTAAGTTGTTCGCTTTTATTCTGCTTTCCATAGTTAATTTTCTCTTTAGATAATCTGGATATTATTTATTTTTGAAACATAATAATAAGAGAATTTGCTTTTTTAAAATACTTCTAATGGCGCTGTAATTCTTGCGCTTCATAATGGATTCGATATATAAGGATAATCAATTCTATGTATAATTTAGGAAATTACATCACATTATTTATTAATTAGTAACGTTTCAGCACCTGGACCCTTTATCTTGTTCACTTTTGTCTGGTTTTAATTATATTATGTTAATAAACAAGTGAAAAAAAATATTAATATTAATATGAAATGAGTGCAAAATAATACGTTAATTATGTTAAACCATTTAAAA